AACTGGGAAACAATTTTTACAGGCAGTGTCTCTGATAAAGGCCTCATTTCTAAAATATATAGAGAACTGAGTACATTTTATAAGAATACAAGTTATTCCCCAATTGAAAAATGGTCAAAGGATATGAACAGGCAGTTTTCAGATGAAGAAATCAAAATTATCTATATTCATAAGAAAAAAATGCTCTAAGTCACTATTGATTAGAGAAATACAAATTAAAACAACTCTGAGGTACCACATCACACCTGACACACATGACAAAATAGGAAAATGATATATGTTGGAGATAATGTGGGAAAACTGGAATACTAATGCATTGTTAGTGGAGTTGTAAACTGATCCAACCATTCTGGAGAGCAATTTGGAACTATGCTGAAAGGGCTATAAAAATGTGCATACCCTTTTACCCAGCAATACCATTTCTAGGGCTGTATTCCAAAGAGATCATAAGAATCAGAAAAGGACCCACATGTACAAAAATATTTATAGCAGCTCTTTTTGTGGGGGCTAAGAATTGGAAATTGAGGGGATGCCCATCAGTTGTGGCATATGAATATAATAGAATACTATTGTTCTGTAAGAAATGATGATAAGGCAGACTTCAGAAAAAACTGGAAATATTTGCAAGAACTGATGTTGAGTGAAGTGAGCAGAAACAGGAAAATCTTGTACACAGTAACAGCAATGTTGTGTGATAACCAACATTGATAGACTTAGCTCTTCTCAGCAATACGATGAAGGAAGACAATTCCAAAAGACTCATGATGGAAATGCTATCCACATCCAGAGAAAGAACTATGGAGTCTGAATGCAGATTGAAGCATACTGTTTTCTGTCTTTTTTTCTTTGTTTTTTTTTTTCTTTCTCATGGTTTTCCCTTTTGGTTCTAATTCTTTTTTATAGCATGACTAATGTGGAAATATGTTTAATATGATTGTACATGTATAGCCTATATCAGATTGCATGCCATCTTGGGGAGGGAGAGGGGAAAGAGGGGAAGAAAATTTAAAACTCAAAATCTTGTAAAAGTGAATGTTGAAAACTAAAAGTAACTAAATGAATATTTGAAAAAAAGAATATTTGTTTACTTCTTTCTTTGCATCAGCAAAAAGTATGTTTGTATTGGTAGAAATTGATCTATTGGTTACCATCCACTTATCTGACCATTCCTCATTCTTCTTTGTTGTATCATCATTCATTTCCCAATCTCCAAACCCTGGTCATATCCCAAGACCCTCTCTTGCCCTGTCCTGTCTTGTCCTGTCCTCTCCCTTCTTCTCTTCTCTTCTCCTCTCCTCTCCTGTCCTCTTTCTATAGTCTTGCTCAGGATCCCCATCAGCTCATATCATTTGATTATCATCTCTATGCAGATAATGCCCAGGTCTATATATAGAGACCTAGTCATTCTCCTGAGCTCCAGACACATATTACCAACTCCCAAGTACATTTCAAGCAGGATGTTCTGTAGGCATTTCAAACTTAACAGGTCCAAAACAGAGATCATTATCTTTCCCAGCAGGTGTACTCCTCTGAACTCTCCTCTTTCTGTTGAGGGCTCCACTGTGTTTCCAATCACCCCAGTTTGCAATAGTGATATTATCCCTGACTCCTCACTATTAGTCACTCTGTGTCCTGTCACTTCCACATCCACAAAACCTCTTCCATCTACCCCCTTATCCATCATCGGCTGACCCTTGGGTAAGTCATAATTAATGTCTACCTCATTTTCCTCACCTATTAAACAGGATCATACATAACCTACCTCATGAGGTTTTGGTGAGATCAGTCAGACTGACTTGAGTTCTTGGATGGTCATTCAACATTCAGAATAAAGCTTGTTTCTGATTCCACATCATCATTCACATTTTTTTTTCCCTTTTCTCCTTCTACTCTCATTGATCGACTTCAGGTCCTCATTACCTCTCATCCATTTGTATAAGAACAGCCTCCTAAATGATCTACCTGCTTCAAATCTCTCTCTATCTTCCACACAGTGGCCAAAATGATTGCCCTAAAGGGGAGATCTGACCCTGCAACTCCTTTACTCAATAAATGGCACTCTTCTCTATTGCCTGCAGGATCAAGCATTTGTATAGCTTTCTTTTCTTTTCTTTTCTTTTCTTTTCTTTTCTTTTCTTTTCTTTTCTTTTCTTTTCTTTTCTTTTCTTTTCTTTTCTTTTCTTTTCTTTTCTTTTCTTTTCTTTTCTTTTCTACTGGTCTCCCTATCTCTCCTACAATGGAAGTAAAAGGGCTATTCACCAGGTTCAACTCTAATCAGATGGCTCAAAAGTCTTAGTGTAATTTTAAGCTTTAATAGATTTTTTAGGGTATTTTGTATAAGGATAGCTCTTGAGGTAGTGAGGCAACCAGGTCAATGACATTAATCCATAGGAGATTCAATAGTTTGTCAGGTCTGAAGAGCTCCCTTCCCTTCTTGATACTAGTTTATATAGGATTCTCTCCCCACCCAAACCCCCCAAAGTAGATGGTAGTGTACTTCATCTATCCCTGTTCTGGGTCTCCATGTGATTAATACAACTCATTCTTTTCATTCATTCTTTCATTTTTGCTTCCAAAGAGCTTTATTTTATGTTTTTTCTGATTGCAGAAAACAATTTTTAATGTTCATTTTTTATAATTTTGAGTTCTAAGTTCCTGCTCTCCCTTGTCTCCCTTCCCTCCCCCTTCCTGGAGAAGGCAAGCACTTTGATATAGATTATACATTTACAGTCACAAAAAAAACATGTTTCCATATTAGCCATGCTGCAAAAGAGAACAGAGACCAAAAAAAAAATACCAGGAAAAAGAAGTTAAAAAGTATATTTCAATATGCATTCAGACTCCATAAGTTCTTTCTCTGGAGGTGGATAGCATTTTTCATTAAGAATTGCCTTGGATCACTGTATTGTTAAGAATAGCTAAGTTGTTCAGCTGATGATTGTACAATATTGCTGTTATTCTGTACAATGTTCTCCTGGCTCTGCTCACTTCACTCTGAATTTATTCATGTAAGTTTTTCCAGATTTTTCTGAAATCATCCTAGTCATTTTTTTTATAGCACAGTAGGATTCCATCACAATCACACACCATAACTTGATCAGTCATTCCCCACTGGTGGACATCCCCTCAGTTTTCAATTCTTGCCACCACAAAAAGAGCTGCCATATATTTTTCTACATAAAGTGCACTTTTCTTTTCTTTTTTCCTCTTCTTTCCTTTCCTTTCTTTTTCTTCTTTTTGGGATACAATATTGCTAGACCAAAGGGTATACACACGGGTATAGTTCCAAATTGCTCTCCAAAGTCATAGGATTAGTTCACAACTCCACCAACAGTGCATTAGTAATTAATTTTTCCACATCCACTTTAACATTTATTGTTTTCCTTTTTTGTTATTTTAGCCAACCAGATATGAGGTGTTACCTCAAAGTTGTTCTAATGTGTATTTCTCTAATCAATAATGATTTAGACTATTTTTTTTCATATGACAATAGATAGCTTTGATTTCTTTGTTGGAAAACTGCCTGTTCATCTCCTTTGACCATTTGTCGATTGGGAAATTAGTCATATTGTTGTAAATTTGACCCAGTTCTCTATATACTTGAGAAAAGAGCTCTTTATCAGAGAAATTGCTGTAAAAAATTTCCCCTCCTTTTCTGATAATAAACAGCTCCTTGAGAGAAACACAGGTATCTTGGGATTTTTTTTAAAGTAATACTTCTGTGGAACCTTCACGGCCCAGCCCAGCCTCCTCCCACTGCTGCTGACCCCACCCTCACCACCTAGTCACCTCTTCAATAGTCTCTGGCATCCTTGTGAGCAGCCTCAGATACTTCTCCTTAAGTTCCAAGATAGGAGTGTCCCCACCCAAGTTACAGAACCACCCAGTTCTTCAAATGAATAAAAGGTCAACCAGCCCCAGAAAATCTCACTGGAGCTTAAAGAAACCATCACAGCCCAATAGCTCAGGACAATTGGAGAGAGCAGTTGCAACAGGTACTTTTAATCCTTCTTATAACTGAAAACTGTCTGTTTCTGCATCTTTCACTGCTGTCCCTTGGGTTCTAGAAATAGGTGTGGGTCTGAGCCTAAGTATTTCTATTATCGGGATGTTTTTGTTTTTGCCATAGGGTCCATTATGTCCCACAGGGGTAGCAGATCCCTTCTCTACTCACTGGGAGTGGGCACTAATGGCTGATGAGCCAGGTTCAGTGTGGAAACTCTTACTAACATATTTATCTAAGAGTGGAAACTGCAACATTGGTGGAACCTTTGAATGGGAGCATAATCCGAAGGCTGGTTTGCTGTCCTACCTGTTGCTCTGAGGGATATGGGAGATGATGCCTGTGGTCAAGGGGAAATCTCTGCTAAGGAAACTGAATGGAGTGCCCTGTGGTGCCAGGGAAGATGAGCCATCTGTGAATTTGTTTAGTCCAGTAGCCAAGTCCTGTGGAACTATGACCCAGGGGGCTTCGTCACCCTAGCAGAGCTAAAGTGGCACGCTGGAGTGCCTGGAGGCAGGAAGACCCAAGTTCAAATCTGACCTCAAACACTGTTAGCTATTTGACCTTGAGGAAGTCACTTAAGTCATTATCTGCCTCAATCTAGTTTCCTTAATTATAAAGTCGGAATGATAACAGCACTTACTTCCAAGGGTTATTATAAGGATAAAATTAGATAATATTTATAAAAGACTTGGCACAGTAACATTTGTAAAGTGCTTAGCCTGGCCCATTGTAGGTGGGGAAGAGAGGACAGGGAATAAGCATTTATTAGCTCTATTTATTAAGGTTCCTAATAAATGCTCATTTCCTTCCTTCCACATCCACACCTCTCTGGATAGAGGTGCTGAGGTAAAGTTCAGTATGGGGCTATACCTGGGTGTAGCCCTGAAGAAAGTCCTACAAATCAATTACCTTTAATCTATCCTTACAGGAGCAGAGAGAATCTTATCATGAGTAGAAGCAAACCCAATTTACATACTCAAGGTAAGCAGACAATATGGTGGACAACATTGGTTCTCAGGCTAGTAAGAATGAGAAAATTTAGCTGTGGGGCAATGGAAAAACCACTGGTTCTGAAGTTAGACAACCTGAGTTCAGATTGTCCTTGTGATGCTTACTGCCTGTGTGTTCTTCGGTAAATCATTTAATAACCTTGGGCCTCAGTTTCCTCATATAGTAGTAGTAGTAGTAGTAGTAGTAGTAATAATAATAATAATGATAATGATAATAATTATAATAATGATAATAATAATATACATCAACAACTAGTATTTATGTAACAACTACTATGTGCCAGGAACTGCACTAGGAGCTTTACAAATATTATTTCATTTGATCCTCACAACAACTTTGGGAAATAGGTGCTTTTATTATCCTGATTTTATAATTGAAGAAGGTGAGGCAAATAGAGGTTAAGTGACTGGCTCAGGTCACACATTTGGTAAGTGTTTGAGGCTGGGGAGGTTCAGCTTGGAGAAAAGAAGACTCAATGGGGAAATGCTCACCATCTTTAGGGATTTAAAGGCCAATCCTGGAGAGAGAGATTTGACCTGTCTTGTTTGCTCCTGAAGACTAAGAGTAAAGAGTACAATTTACAAAGAGGTAAATTTAAACTCGATGTCAGGAAAAACCTTCCAACAATTAGAGCTGTCCCAAAGTGGAACTGGGCTGTCTCCTGATGTGGTGGGGTTCTCCACATTAAAGGTTTTCTTTAAAAAAAAATGGATATTTGCTAGACGTACTCAGTGTTTGGGAGTGGGTTGGTTAGATGCACTCTAAGTTCCCTTCCACTTCTGAAATTCTGCAGTTCTCTCCTTCACAATCACAGCTCTTTGGTCATCACAGTAAGGATGTATATATATGAAGTGGCCATGTGTGGATTCTGTGGGTGACTGTATTCCATCGATATCAGTCCATCATTCTCCACAGGCTGACACAGAATTTGAAATTTCCTGGAAACCAATCCATTAAATCAGTTTAATCCTCATCAGCCAATGACATTGACATTGTGACAATTGTCATTTAGAAGCAGTGGAACAGCCTGTCTTCAGGGGAATTCGTGACATTTATCAGCAAGTCTTGGTGCTTCAAGACAAGACCATTATAGCAGTTCCTGAGGATGGAAATGTGATCCCAAGTAAGTAGGAAACCTGGCCCTATTCTCTCTTTCTTTGAGGCATTCTCACGCTTTGGGTGACCTTCTCTTTATAGTGTCCCTTAGGACAGCTACATGTAGCTCAAAAATTCCAGGGCTGACTTGGGCAGTTATTAGGCATGAAGTTTGGAAGAAAGGGAAAGTCTTTTTTTTTTTTTTTGCTTTTTTTTGGTGAGACAAATAAGGGTTAAGTGACTGGCCCATGGTCACACAGCTAATAAGTGTCTGAGGCTGGATTTGAACTCAGGACCTCCTGACTTGAAGGCCAGAGCTCTATCCACTGTGCCATCGAGGTGCCCTGAAAGTCTTATACCAGGTAGTGAAAGTCGGTAGGGGAATGGGCAGGCTGGCTTTTGTTAAGAGTTATACCGCGCTGTCCCATGAAGTCAGAGACAAAAGAGCAGTAGAATAATGCTTAGGGAGGATGGAGGAGGGAAGAAAAATTCAGGTTGATTGATCTTTTGAATCCAACATGGGAGGATTCTAATGCCAAGGAATTATGGTAATAATGGGGCTGGGAGGAGAGGAACAGAATGGTGCAACAAGATGGAGTAAATGAATTTGGACTAGGTTGCTGAGATCCAGGAAAGAGGTGGGGAGCTTTCTCCATGTGGCATTCTTTTACAGGCAAACTAGGGTGACACAGTGGATAGAGCAATGAACTTGGCATAAGGGAGACCTATGTTAGACTGCTCCTTAAGATGCTTAAGTTGTCCTGTTGGGCAGTTATTAGGCATAAGAGAGGCACTCTGAGTCACATTTTCCTCTTCTGTAAAATGAGGGAGTTACATTTGATGACTCATAAGGTCTTTTCAGGTTCAAATCTATAATTTTATTGTAGCAAGTTGAACTGGACCCAAGGCACCAGGGAGTATGTAGAGTGGACCTGTAGATGGATCTGGGATATGGAATGCCCCACTTCACATTTCATATTGCCACTCCTGCCTTTGTGGCAAGTAGGGGGATGACTGTGATTGGGTGATAACTCCCTAGCTCTCCAATCTTCAAAAGGGCTATAGGGCCAGAATTATATCTACCTATTGCACATCAGATATGTGCCATCTAGAAGTACAATGATTTCTTGATGTTTAGGATAAAAGCCACTTTTGCTAGTCACTCTGGGAGTAAGTAGTCCTCTCCTAGAACAAGAAGGTAACAGTTAATGTAATCCCAGCCAGCTCCTATCCCATTCCACAGAATGCTAATTACATCAAAAATGATCATGTATAATGAACAAACATAACTAGCGAAGCAAACAGTAAAACAGTAATTAGGGAAGTTATACCAATTAGTTTGGGCAGAAGAATACATATGAGTCAGGTGTGTCTGGGATTTGGAAGGGAGGTAAAATCTCAGCTCCACCAAGGAAGGAACAATGTCCCCCCAGAGGTTTGCTCTTTGTAGCTTTTGGGAGTGCAGGTTCTGGGAATCAATGAATATACATGTTGGGGTGCTAGCTCCTCCTGGACATCTCCTGTTTGCCAAAATCCATCCCTTCTCTCTCATTCCACCTTTGTGCTTCTCTCTTTCTCTGCTTCTCTATCAGAAGTTTTTTTAGCTAATCAGGAGTCATATCTCAATCATGTGTATCATACCAGCATCACAAGACTATCTTTCAGGAGACTGCCAAGCCTGCCTGGTTAGGGTGTTACCTGAAGGGAAATCAGACAAGGCAAATTGCAGGCATGGCTGAAGCAACAGTGTGGGAGATTGGTCGTTTGTGAGGTCAGTAGTCCCTCCCCCTGGCACGCTTGCTGGGAGGACTGTGCTCCAGAGTTTAGGAGCTAGAATTCCTATCAGGGATTCCAAAGTCCAAAGGACAGATTGAATCAATATGAGGACTAGGCCATTGAACAGATGACCTCTCCACCCAGGAACGAATGGGAGATTCCCATAGACCTAGGTGTTTCATTTCCCTTGCCTTCCCTGGGTGCTTCCAGCTCAATATCCCTGAAGTTCAAGTCCAAGGCATTCCCTTGATCTTTTTTTTAGATGGATGATGCCCTCCTCCATCACCCTCCTCTTTGTCAGAAACGTATTCTTTTTTTTTTTGCTTCTTTTTTTAAAATTTTTTTTCCATATGCTTTTGAGTTGAAAATTTTTTCTCCCTTTTTCTCCCCCCCCCCAAGACGGTGCACAATCTGACATAGGCTTTACATTTACATACCCATTAAACATATTTTCACGTTAGTGAAGTTGTAAGTAAAAATTAAAACCAATAGGAGGAACCATCAGAAAGATGAAACAAAACTCAACTGAAGGTAAAAATAAGTGAGAGCGATTCTACTTCCATAGTTCTTTCTTTGGATGTGGACAGCATTTTCCATCCCGAGGCCTCTGGAGATGTCTTAGATCCTCGTAATGCTGAGAAGTGTTCGGTTTAACATTCTTAGTCATTGCATAACATGGCTGCTATTGTATACAAAGTCCTCTTAGTTCTGCTCACTTCACTCAGCATCAGACCATATAAGTCTTCCCAGGTTTTTCTGAAGTCAGCCTGTTCGTCATTTCTTATAGCACAATAATATTCCATTATATTCATATACCACAACTTGCTCAGTCATTCCCCAATTGATGGGCATCCTCTCAATTCCCAATTGTTTGCCACCACAAAAAGAGCTGCTATGAATATTTTTGCACATGTGGGTCCTTTTCCCATTTGTTTGATCTCTTTCGGATATAGCCCTAGAAGTGCTATTGCTGGATCAAAGGGTATGCACATTTTTGTAGCCCTTTGGGCATAGTTCCAAATTGTTCTTCAAAGTGGTTGGATCATTTCACAACTCCACCAACAATGTATTAGCGTTCCAATTTTCCCGCGTCTTCTCCAACATTTATCATTTTCCTGTTTTGTCACGTTGGCCAATCTGATAGGTGGGATGTGGTACCTCAGAGTTGTTTTGATTTGCATTTCTCTAATCAATAATGATTTAGAGCATTTTTTCATATGACTATAGATGGCTTTAATTTCTTCATCTGAGAACTGCCTGTTCATATCCTTTGACCATTTATCAATTGGGGAATGGCTTGTGTTCTTATAAATTTGTCTTAATTCTCTATATATTTTAGAAATGAGGCCTTTATCAGAGAGACTGGTTGTAAAAATTCTTTCCCAATTTTCTACCTTCCTTCTAATCTTAGTTGCATTGGCTTTGTTTGTGCAAAAACTTTTCAATTTAATGTATTCAAAATTATCCATTTTGCTTTTCATAATGTCCTCTATCTCCTATTTGGTCATGAATTCTTCTATTCTCCATAGATCTGATAGGTAAACTCAGAAACGGATTCTTGATCCTCACATTTTTTTCACCCTGTGTGGTCACTGATTCTTGTATTCCCAGTCTCACTGATGAACATACCATGCCGAGATGAGTCTCTTGAAAAAGACAAAGGCAATCCTATTTACCTGGGAATAGCAGAGACTCAACTGTGCCTGTGCTGTGAAAATAGCAGAGGCCAACCCATACTGAAGCTGGAGGTGAGTGTTATAGCATCTCACAGAATTTCAGCATGGGAAGGGATTTCTGAGGTCACCAACAATACCTGAATTAGAATCTCCTAGAAAGTATGACCAAGTAATAGTCGTTTAGGTTCCAGCGAAAGCTCTTGGGTTGTAGTAAAAGAGCTTTTGCCTTATCTTGCTCAAAACCAGGCCATCATGCCATGGCTGGGGCATTTCCAAACCTCACCTACCCTTCACATGATTTTTAACTTTGTTTTATATGTTGCCTTCCTCCATTTGAATTTAAATTCCTTGAGGGCAGGGACTGCCTTATTTGCTGATATTTGTAATCCCAGTACTTTGCACTGTGTGTGACATGTGATAAATCCTTTTTTCTTCTCTCCACTTTCCCCTTCCTTCCTTCCTTCCTTCCTTCCTTCCTTCCTTCCTTCCTTCCTTCCTCCCTCCCTTCCTTCCTTATTTCCTTACTTCCTTCCCGTCATTGCCTTTCAAAGTAGCTGATTCCACTTTGGAGAGCTTTCATCATTAGGTTAATTTGTCTTATATTAAACCTGAATCTTTGCTGCTATATTCACAATTTCTTCTAGTTCTGCCCTTTGGGATGAAGCAGAGAATATTTAAATCCTTCTACACAAAAGACCATCTAACTCTTGAAAAAAGATATCATGTCCTCCACAGAGCTGTTCTCCTTCAAGCTAAACACCACCACTTGCTTCATTTCATTCTTATGTGGCATGATCTTAAAATCTTTCATCATCATGGTCTCCCTTCTCTGTATACTCTGCACTTTTAAAGCTCTTGCTGAAATGTCGTGCTTAGAATTAAATGAATGAAAAACATTAATTGAGTATTTGCTATGAGTCAAACATTGCTCTAAGCACTGACAATGCAAATAGAAAAGTCCCTGCCTTTAAGGAGCTTACCTTCTAATGGGGAAGATGCCACACATAAGGAAGTGGTGGCTAGCGAAAGGAGCTGTGGTCTGGAAAGTCCCAGGTATGAGTTCAACAGTAGGGTAGTCAACTGACATTCCCTTTGAGAGGCAATGGTGATGGCTGATAATAACTATCATCAATATAGTACTTTAAGATTTGCAAAGCCCTTTGTGAATATCATCTCATCTGATCCTGACAACGACCTTGTGTGAGATAGGTGCTATTACCTTCCACATTTTATATATGTGGAAATTGAGGCAACCAGAGATTATGTGACTTGGCTACTGTCCCCTGGCTATCAAATATTTGAGGCAGGACTGAATTCTGGTTTTCCTGATCCAAGTTCAGCACAATTTAGCTGCCAGTGGGAGGCTTAATTTGATTCATATTTTCAGGGGGAAAGCAATAAAACAAAAAACAAACAAACAAAGACAAAACAATCCTAAAATAATCTAATGAAACCTTTGGCTACATTAAAAGGATACTTTCTAGGAAGAGATGGATCAAAATCCTGTTGTACTCAGCTTTTGTCTCACTTCATCTGGAGTATTGTATTCAATTTTGGGTACCATGGTTTAAAAAGGACATGATAAAATGAAGAGTATCAAGAGGAAGTCAGTCAAGATGGTAGAGGATCTTGATTCCTTGCCCATCGAGGGTTGGTTGAAGGAACCTGACATGCTCAGCCTGGACAGAAAAAGATTTGGGGGTGTCAGAGGGGGGAAACACTAGCTGTCTTCAAGTATTTGAAGGGGTATCTCACGGAAGAAGGATTTGACATTTCATTTGGCCTCAGTGGGCAGAACTAGATGCAAAGAGGCAATTTGGGCTTAATATCAGCAAACCCATTCTAACAATCAGAGTTGTCTCAAAGTGGGATGGACAACCTCAGGGGGGATGGATTCCCAATCCTTGGAGGTTTTCAAGTTGAGGTTGGATTACTATACATACATATATACATGTATATGTGTGTACACACACACACACACACACACACATGTGCGTATACACACATTATATTAAGGACATCTTTTGTGTGTGGGTTGGACTGGATGGCCATTAAGATCCTTTCCAGTTCTCAGATTTTGAAATTCTATAACCCCATCTAAAGGGCTTTTCCTTCTTACTTTTTAGGAGAGGGACATAATGGAATTATATCGCACCCAGAAAGCAGAGAAGTCTTTTGTATTTTACCGAAATGAAACTGGCAACATTTCTACCTTTGAGTCAGCTGCCTATCCTGGCTGGTTCATCTGTAGTGCAGTGGAGAAGGGGAAACCTATCACAATTACCAAGGATGTGGGGAGAGATAATACAGCTTTCTATTTTGACCTCAGGGATTGACATTGGACTGGCCCAAGTGGACTCAGTTCAATAAAAGCTTGCTTGTGCAGTATACCACATGTTCCAAAACAGTTTCATGGATATTAATCTTGTGCCTGTGTTGGCAGATATGGAATATAAGCAGGCTGTGTTCCTGACTTCTAGGGGCTTAGATTTAATACCACTGAGATAAATTGACCTATATGCCAACCATTGTAGTCATTGATATAGATGTTCTGGGTGACTGAGGCTTTTAGTATCTCAGCTCCTGAACTCCCCATCCAGCCATTTTCCCTCACATTCCCCAAGGGAGCGACCACCCATCCAAGCAGGGGGAAAAGCTGACAACAGACATGGGGGCCCTGGCCAGGCAGCACTTGGGTATGTTTGTCTTCAGGAATTGCTCTGAGGAGGATGCTTTCCAGACCAGACCTGTCCCAGGTGCTGAAGTTTTGTGGCTGTTTCTCAGACCTAAAGCGTTAGCACCAAGGTTCATGAAGAATTTTCTAAAAGAATATTGAAGATGCTGTCCCCAGTGGTCTGTGAATATGAACTGAATGAGTTTGTAAAAATGTTAGGATTATTAGAAGAAGATGAATGGGCATATATTCCAACATGAAAGAACTTGGTTAAATACATAATACATATTGATACATTTAATATGTTATTAAATATATATGTGATACATTTTATAGTTGTATATAAAATAATATGTATTTAAAGGATTATATGACACTTTCACACACACACACACACACACACACACACACACACACACAGAGGCAACACACACAAGAATATGAGCATACCCGGACCAGGTTGCATAGTATAGTTGATAAAGACACTGAATTGGGATTCAAAGGAGCTGGGTTCAAATCCTAATGGTGCCATTTATTACCTGTAGGATTATGTCAAAGTCACTCAACCTCCCCAGACCTGTTTCCTCATCTATAAAATGAGAGAATTGCTCTCCACGGCCTCCTACATCCCTTTCACCTATAAATCCAGGGTCCTATCTTCCTAAGGCCAAATAAATGTTGGCAGTGGCTCGGAAATAGGTGAAGTGACTGCTGTTCAGACTCATAGAAAGGGAGAACTGGGAGAGACCCCTTACTTTAGAGATGAAGATATAGAGATCTTGTGTCTCCTCTTAGCTCACACAATTGGTTATGAAAGAGAGTTAGAATTAGAATCCAGACCTGCTGACTCCTAATTCCCCCACTTCCATGCCAGCACTTCATGGCCTCCCTGAATTATGAGCGTTTTGAAGTATGATTCAACAGATCATGAAAGATTGTGCAGAGTCTGATGACAAAGGTATTGGTGAGGCACCCAGCTCATGTCAGCATTTCTAAATGGTATAATCAGAGTGATCATCAGCTCTGAGCCAAGAGCATGTCTGGGTAGACCTCAGTGCATATTGTTACCTGGGTGTGAGAACTAATATTCACCATCTGCCTTCTCTGTGAAGTTGTGTGTATAAATGAATGCATGGGTAGGTGTTTGAGGGATATTTAGCTCTTTGTGCAAAATTATTTTGCTGCTATAAATGTTGTTGTTCACTTGTGTGTGACTCTTCATGAATCTGTATGCAGTTTTCTTGGCACAGGTATTGGAATGGTTTTCCATTTGCTTTTCCATTGGATTGAGGAGAACAGAGGTTAAGTGAGTTGTCCAGGGTCACACAGTTATTGAGTGAGGCCAGATTTGAACTCAGGTCTTCCTAATTTCAGGCCCAGTGCTCTAACCACTGAGCCACCTAGCTGCCTCTGAATAGCAGCCTATAAATGAATTACATGATATCAACATTAGTAAATGTCTGAAATAGTATTTTTTAATGTGATGTTTTGTAGTTTTTATTTACAAGCTAACAAAGGATGTGTCTGTGATCATTATCATGTAAGGGCTCCTGTCCCAGTTTCAATAGACTTAAAAAGAAGGCAGTGTCCTTTATCTTCCCTCAAACTCATCTGAATATTTGTTCCTTGAGATTCAGGAAGGTTCTTCCTGGGCCTTAGATCAGGTACCTTTCCTAGGAAAGGGGTGGGTATCATGGGTGAAGCAATTTATCCTTGGTGAACTTCTAGGGAAGGATCTCCAAACCTCCAAATTTTTACTCACCTGAATCTCCCACAATTCTGCCTCTGTAGAGTACGGGTAATGTGGCTTTGGGCAAACAAATAAGTCCTTTAAGACTAAACATGGCAGAGTGTTGCTGATCTGTGCAGAAAGAAAGTGTTTTATCCCTGGGAGTTCCCTGTACCAATGAAATCAAAAGTCCAGTCCACAACTCAAACTCTCTCAGAAAGTGGACCTCAGAAATCTGGTGGGTGATAGCAAGAGTTGAGGGAATCCATTTGGGAAGGAGGGACTTGGTCATCCCTGGGCTCTGTGACCTTCAGCAAGTAGAGTGGGGGGTGGGGAAACAGCACATGTTCTAAAGACAGAGAACTTGGGTTCAAATCCCATCTCTGACATTTACTGCTGTGTGAATTTAGGCCAGTCATTTCCTTTCAGTGGACCTCAGTTTCTTCATTTGTAAAATGATAGGGTTGGACTAGATGACCTCTCCGGTACCTTTTCAGTTGTAGATATCTGATTCTAGCAAGGTTAACCTTCCTCAGCTTTGATTTTCTTATCAGCCCAATGGAGACTGGTAACTAGTTCTTCTAACTTCACAGGGGTGGTAGAAGGTTCTGATGAGATACTCTAAATGTGCTTTGAAAAGTTAAAGAATACTCTATGGGTATCTGGCAGTTTTGTCACCAACCCACCCACCCTGAGACCATTCATGTCATCTAGTTAGGTCTGTTTCCATGATATCAGTGCCAGTATGTGGCAGTACCGTTGTGGGATGTGTCAGAGGTGTGATTTGAACTCAGGTCTTCCTGATTCCAGGACCAGTCCTCTATCTGTCTTACTATGGTATCTCTCTAAGGAAAAGTGTGTATAAATGAAGAGACTGAGAATGATTGGTAGGTAATAAAAAGACTGAAATGTTCCACAGGGTCACAAAGAGTCAGACATGACTAAACAAAGCATGTAAAATACCCACAAAACGAACACAAACTAAATTTGTGTGGGGGGACCCCTCTGTCTGTGTTGTCTGCTCTGTTAGAATGGGAGCTTCTTGAGAACAAAGACTGTCTTGCTTTTCTATGTATCTTTAGCACTTAATATAGTGCTTTGTACGTAATAAAAACTTAATAAATGCTTTGTTCATTTTTTTTTCTTTCATACCCACTTCAGTGACAGATGCTGGATTTTATCCCTGGTGTTCTCTGCCTTTTCCTCTTCTGCCCTTTTGGATGTTAAGTCTGCCCCTCCTTCCACACATGACCCTTTTCTGCCATCTGCCCTGTCCAAACCCCTCTTAGCCCACTTGGCCTTAGATCAAGCCCTCACCCCAGGGTTGGCAGCAGCATCTCTGGAAGTGTGCTGACTATGGGGCACTGGAAATCAATGAGTAAGGGCTGCACCCACTCAGAGGTGGGTGCAAGAGGGAGATGAAATGGGTTTGTAATAAAGAGTCAGGTGCATCCTTCAAGAGATGGACTAAAAAGATGTACTGTCTTCCTCACATAAGCCATGCCTGCATTGTTATCCCATTTAACAGATGAGAACAATGAGGTTCAGAAGCATGAAGTGACTTGCTCAGGGTCGCATAGCTCTAAGCCTCAGTCGTGGTATTTGGATCCTTAGTCTTCCTGACTGCCAAGTCCAATTCTCTATCTGCTATCCCCTGTTACCTCCCCTATGAGAGTGATTAGGCAGCTGGATGGTGCAGTGGATAGAGCACTGGCCCTGAATCCAGGATGACCTGAGTTCAAATGTGCCTCTGACACTTACTAGCTGTATGACCTTTGGAAAGTCACTTAACCTCAGTTGGCGACAGAGAGAGAGAGAGAGAGAGAGAGAGAGAGAGAGAGAGAGAGAGAGTAATTCAGGCTGATGAAAAGAGGAAATACTCCTGTTTAAGAGTATCCAGGGAGTTAGCTCTGGGAACCACAGATTATGGAGAGACACAGGTAGAGGGATGAGAAAGGGAGCCCTTTCTACTATCCCCTGGAAAGAAGGTAGTAAGCATTTATGAAGCACCTACTATGTACATGGTATTGTGCTAGGTGTTTTACAAATATTTCATTTCATCCTCAAAATAATGCTAGGAGGTAGGTGCTATTTTCCTCATTCTACAGCTGGGGAAACTGAGGGAAGCAGAGGTTGAATAACTTGCCTAGGCTCTCAGTGTCTTTAAGTATCCAAGGCTGGACTTGTACTCAGGTCTTCCTGATTTAAGTTGTCCTGTGTCCAAGCTCAGAGCTCAATTCACTGTGTTATTTAGCTGCCATGCTATATAAGTTTTTTTGAAAAACCTTTTTTGGGAGGGTTGGGGCAAGGTTAGTGTTTCTGTGAAGGTATATTTCTGTTATACACATCCTTCTTCTTTCTGACTGGCAGCCCTTCCATTTTCTGGAACTTCTATGCCCCAAACTCCCATCTCCCAGGTCCCCTAGCTAATTGCAATTGGTTTCTCCTTTTTTTTAAAGCAATGTTAGAGGTGGGAAAACAAACAGTTGTACTTGGCAGAGAGGTGTCAGCTCCATCCAGTTCAGTTCTGCCAGCATCTAATAGGCTTCTGCTATGTTCCAGGCACGGTGCTTGGTGCTAGAGATGCAGAGACAAAAGGTGAAACAGACCTTGTCTCCAGGTGCTAACCTTCTCTTGAAGGGAACAACATGTATTTAACTGCAGCAAATGGGTCACAGGTAGGCCAGGAGTGACATCACTGTAGAAAGACAGGCTGGAGCCAGATCAGGAAGCTCATTCGATGAGAAGCTGGAGACTTGTCCTTACCAGCTGCCTCCCACTTGGATTCTTCTCCTTCATGGAAAGAGAGGAGAGACAGAACCTAGATGAGGCTCTTCCCTGGACTGGACATAGAGATGACCTAGTGCAGAGCTTGAATCGTCTCATCCCTCATCCCTCCCAGGTCTCAGTGGTCTCTCTGGTACCTCAAAGCTCTGATCATTCCATCTGTAGCTCACCAAGTTTAGAAGGTGGGGGCAGGGCAAAGGCATCCAGAGATCTGAAGCACCGATCCGCTCTGCCCACCCACAAGATACGTTTGATCTTGAGCTCCTGGAGAACAAGGGCTATCTGTGCCTTTCTTTGTATGCCCAGGGTTAGCCACTGTACTTGGCACAGAGTAGATGTGTAATCAGCCCATATTGATGATGTGATAAGATGGAGAATGAACTTTCTTGGATCCTTTCTTCTGGGATGCTCTAAAAAAATCAAGTCTCTAAAGACAAATTCAAAACATACCATTATCTGATTATATCTAGAATGGCTGGCCTCTGCTTGTATTTCTCATCTCTAGATCAGTGCTTTCCTGGGCTGGATGCCTGGGAATTCAGGGTTACAGAGTATAGTGGAGGGGAGATGGCATGGACAAAAACTATGAGGCAGGAAAGCATAGGAGTAGAAGGTACTGCCCCTTCATGGAGAGCTCACTTTCCCTCCACACTCCATGTATATCACTGGGAACTTGGTCCACCCATGCTTACTAGGGGAATTAAGGAAAGTGATCCTTCACAACCACCCAGGCATCTGGGGATTCCACAAGATTCCTGTGAATGGAAGGAAGATGAGTCCTTCTTTGATTTCCATTTCCATCTTGGGGATTCCCATCCCCAAGCCCAGGCAATCCCTATCTGCCGCTCCCCTTTCCCAAAGACTTCAAAGTATCTTCTGCCTCCAGAAAAGGTCTTCCTCCTTAAGCTCAGAGTAAGGAGCTTTCTGCACCCATTTATTCAGACAGCTAGGTGACTCAGTGGATAAAACACTAGACTTGGAATCAGGAAGACTTGGGTTCAAATCCATCCTCAGATACTTACTATCCATGTGACCCTGGGGAAGTCACTTAACCCCTGTTTCCCTCAATCTGCTCAAGTGTAAAATGGGGATAATAACACCTACCTCCTAAGATTTTTATGAGGGTCTAATGAGTTAGTATTTGTAAAGTGCTCACCACAGTTTCTGGCACATAGTAAAACACTTAATAAATAAATGCTTCTTTCCTTCCTCTTCCCATTGGAAAAATGGCCAGGGAGCCCCAGAAGGGCTGCAGATAATGCTCAGCCTATGCCCTCAGGATCACAGGAACCAATGGCGGGCTCAGGAATCCTTGCTTCTTTTTTTCTTCTCTATGGCTGGAAACCACTGTACCTATGTACCCCTTCTGACACTGCTGTCCCCTGGGGATGGGAATGAATCGCAGCCAGACTCTGGGAAGGCTGGGAAGATGGTGTTTCTTGGTATGAGATCCATCTGGACTCATGGCATAGTCAATCCTTTGCCTGACACAGGGTATGGGCATTTAAAGATGATGAGCTGGATTCTGTGTAGAAACTCCTAGTCATAACTTTGCTCAGGGAGGGCTTTGGCGGGGGGAAGATAAAAACATGAGAGGGATTCCTGGGAGAGGAAACTGAAGGATGGAGGGAGGGGAGGTCTTGGTAAGGTTCAGGAGGTTCCGAAGGAGTGAGGCCCAGAGAGAGATGGAAGGATAGAAAGCTAGGAGTCCCCTCCCCAATTGTGGCATGTCCCTCTGCCAGGGCCCAGACTTGAGGCCAAGTTTGTCAGATAACTTTGCCAAGTCCTGATGTAGAGGAACACAAGTGCTGCAGAGCCTTATCGCTGTCACATGCCGTTGCGTAGCTTTCTTTTCTTAAAATCTGGACCTCCCTATCTCTCCCAGATTGGAAGTAAAGGAGCAGCTCACCAGATTTCACCTCAATGGGCACAGGAACTTCCACTTGTTTCATTTCTTGACCTTGGCTGGTTCACCCATCCTTAGGCAGCCCCTGCATGCAGGGACTCACAATTTTAATGCCATAATTAGCATGGACTCCAATTGGCCTAGGCCATTATAGTTCAGAACTCCTGAGCCTCCCAGGTAGCTGGAATTATAGACATGCACTATAACACCTGGCTTTCTATTTGGCTTTTAAAGCCCTTCATATCCTGGCCTAATTTACATTTCTAGTCCTTTTTAGAGCAGGAATAGATAAGATTCAAATGAAAGTTCTGGATCTGAATACATTGTATCAATGAAGCAAATAACCCTCCTACTCACCCCCTCCTCATGCACTCTTTTACTAAATAGTAATAAGCACTAAACAAAGTCATGGAAACATTCAGCAAGAATAAAGAGGCTGTCTCAAAAGTCTTAGTGTAAATTTAATCTTTAGCATATTTTGGGGATATCCTGTATAAGGGAATCTCCTGAAATGGTGAGGCACTCAGGTCAAAGACACAAGAGATTCAGCAGTTTCTCAGGTCTGAAGAGCTCCCTTCCTTTCTTGGTACCAGTTTATATAAGATTCTCTCCCTCCTTCCCCAAACCCCTCACAGTGGTTGTTAGTTCACTTAATCTATCCTTGTTCAGAGTCTCCATGTGAATAACACAACACACATCATTCATTTCATTCATTCAATAATTAATTCATTCCTTTTTGCTTCCAAAGTCATTTATTTTTTATTACAGAAAACAATTTTTAACATTTTTTTTACAATTTTTTAGTTCCAAGGCCCCTCTCTCCTTTCCCTCCCCCATCCTTGACAAGGCGAGCACTTTGATACAGATTATACATTTACAATCATGCAAAACATGTTCCCATATTAACCATGTTGCAAAAGAGAACACAGAACTAAAAAATAAACGAAGAAAAATAATGTTAAGAAGTAGACTTCAATCTGCATTCAGACTCCATCAGTTCTTTCTCTGGAGGTGAATACCATTTTTCAACAAGAATTGTCTTAGATTAATCAATGTATTGTTAAGAATAGCTAAGTCACTCACAGTTGATCATTGTACAATATTCCTGTAACTGTGTACAATTATGGTGTACAAAAACTCTGCTCAGCTTACTCTGCATCAATTCATGTAAGTTTTTCCAGGTTTTTCTGAAATCACTCTACTTGTCATTTCTTATACCACAAGAGTATTTCATCACAATCATACACCATAACTCATTCAGCCATTCCTCGATTGATGGACATCCCCTCAATTTCCAATTCCTTGCTACCACAAAAAGAGCTGCAATAAATATTTTTTGTTTATATAGGACTCTTTTCTTTTCCTCTTCTTTCCTTTTTTCCTTTTCTTCTCTTTGGGATACAGTTCTAACAGTGGTATTGCTGGATCAAAGGGTATACATGTGGGCATAATTCAAAATTGTTCTCCAACAGTGCATTAGTGACCCGATTTTCCCCCTCCAACACTTATCTTTTCCCTTTTCTGTCATTTTAGCTAATCAGATAGGTGTGAGATGGTACCTCACATTTGTTTTAATTTGCATTTTTCTAATCAATAGTGATTTAGAGCATTTTTTCATATGACTCTAGATAGCTTTGATATCTTCATCTGAAAACTGCCTGTTTAGATCCTTTGACCATGTATCAATTGGGAAATTACTCATGTTCTTAAAAATTTGACCCGGTTCTCTATGTATTTGAGAAATGAGGGCTTTATCAATGAAATTGCTGCAAATTGCCCCCCCCCCACTTTCCTGTAAGGAAAAGAGCTCCTTGACAAAAACACGGGTAAAATCTCTAGTAATTTTTCAAAGTAAGGCTAAGGTGGAACCTTCAGGGCCCAGCCCAGCTCCTCCCACTGCTGCTGACTCCACTCTCCCTACCCAGCCACCTCTTCAGTATTCCCTGGCATCCTTGGGAGCAGCCTCAGATACTTCTTAAGTTTCAAGGGAGGAGCTGTTCCCACCCAAGCTACAGAACTACCCAGTTCTTCAATTGGATAAAAGGCCAAGCAGCCCCAGAAAATCTCATTGGAGCCTAAAGAAACCATCACACCCCAGGAGCACAAGAAAATTGGAGAGAGTGGTTGGACCAGGTACCCTTTGACTTTTCCTGCAGCTGAAAATCTTCTGTCTTTGGATCTTTCTGTCATTACTATCCCTTGGATTCCAGGGATGGGTGTGGGTCTGAGCCTAAGTATTTCTATTGTTAGGATGTTTTGGTTTTTGCTTATAGGGCCCGTTATATCCCATAGTGGGTAGCAGATCACTTCCTGGCTCACTGGAAGTGGGTACTGATGGCTGATGATGAGCTGGGTTCAGTGTGGAAACTCTTACGGACATGTTTGCCTATGGTGGGAAAACTGTAACATTGGTGGGATCTTTGAATGGGAGCATATTCTTGAGGGCTGGTCAGCTGTCCCACCTGTTGCCCTGAGGGATATTGGAGGTGATACCTGTGGTCATGTGGAGATCTCTACTGAGGAAGCTGAGTGGAGTGCCCTGAGGTGCCAGGAAAAATGAGTCACCTATGAATCTCTTTAGTCCAGTTGCCATGACCTGTTGAACCGTGGCCCAGGGGGCTTCGTCACTCTAGCAGAGCTAAGTGACACTTTGGAGTGCTGTGCCTGGAGTCAAGAAGACCCAAGTTCAAATCAGACCTCAAACACTATCAGCTATTTGACCATGAAGAAGTCACTTAATCTCTATCTGCCTCAGTTTCCTCAACTGAAAAGTGGAGATGATAACAGCACTTACCTCCAAGGGTTGTTATAAGGATCAAATGAGATAATATTTATAAAAAGCTTAGTACAATAACATTTGTAAAGTGCTTAGCCTGGCCCATAGTCTGTGGGGGAGAGAGGACAGGGAATAAGCATTTATTAAGCTCTGTTTATTAAGGTTCCTAATAAATGCTTGTTTCCTTCTTTCCTCAGCCACACCTCTCTGGATAGAGGTGCTGAGGTAAAGTTCAGTATGGGGCTATACCTGGGTGTAGCCCTGAAGAAAGTCCTACAAATCAATTACCTTTAATCTATCCTTACAGGAGCAGAGAGAATCTTATCATGAGTACAATCGACCCCAATCCACACGGCGTAGGTAAGCAACAATATGGTGGACAACATTGGCTCTCAGTCTAGTTAGCTGTGGGCAATGCAAGAGCCCTCACTGGTTCTGAAGTTAGAGGGATTGGATTCATATTCTCCCTGTGATGCTTATGGCCTGTGTGCTCTTGGATAAATCATTTAATATCCCTGGGCCTCAGTTTCCTCATATAATAATAATAATACTTAATAATAATGTTATATAACAACTCACATTTATATAACACCTACTGTGTGTCAGGCACTGTGTTAAGTGCTTTACAACTATTTTCTTATTTGATCCTCACAACAACTCTGGGAGGTGGATGTTATTATTATCCTTATTTTATAATTGAGGAAACTAAGACAAATAGAGGTGAAGTGACTTGCCCAGGGTCACACAGCTGGTAAGTGTCTGAGGCTGGATTTTGCCAGATGGGTTGGACTTGATGGTCACTATGATCTTTTCCAGCTTTGTATCCATGATCTGTGTCCACCCTGGAGAGGAGAAGGCTACAGGTCACTGTGGGGTGAGAAGTTTGCCCAGATCAGTTTTAGAGGATCCAGAAGTCATGTATATGGGAACACATGAGAGCCCCCTAAATTCTACGCATTGTATGGAAGACACTTGTGTGTCCCATTACCTTTCATTTTCACCTGTGCCTGTGGCAGAGGTTTTCTCATTGCCCCTGGCTGCTGGTGTCTCTCCCTCCCCAAACTACCCTAGATTAAGTTTGTGTATATACTATATCTTCCTATACATTAGCACTTTACACATAATTTGACTTTTCTTAAAGAATTCTGAAAGAAATCCACATTCCATAAAAAGTCCCTTTGTTAACTTTACCCTACAGTACTCTGCTGTCTCTCTCTCCCAACTCCTGCCTGTTGCTGTGGGTGCTCTGTGGCCTCTCTCTCCCTCCTCCACCAAAAACAAAAAGCCCCTAAAAATGAAACCCTCCAAGAGAAAGCAGAAGTACAGAGGTATGAGAGACCCCCCCTCTTCCCCACTCCAGTGCTGTGGTGGGATGGAGTTGGCTTGAGACCTCCTGTGCTGAGAGAGAAGACCTTGGCCTGTCTTGCCCATCTGCCCTCCTGTTTGTCTTCCCTCCAGAACAGCATGTCTGTCCTCTCCTGTCTGTGTCCATCTGACCCCCACATTTCTCCCAACCCCACTCCCTGTTCTTCCTGTAGGTTCTGGCCCTGCTCCCTCCTTGTTCTTGCTTCTCTGTCCTTGTCCTCGAGCTATGTGCTAGCCAATTCCTTCCATGGGAGGGAGCCCCATTTGCAGTCCTCTTTCTGCCTCCATCCCTCCCTTCCCCAAGTCCCAGGCAAATTCACATTACTGTCAACCAATCCACTCACATAAAGAGAACTGTCTATATGTGTACATGTGATTTGCTCTGTTAGAGTTCAAGCTGTTTGAGGACAGGCATGGGACCTATCACATAGCTTGTGGATTGATTGATTGAAGGATATCATGTCCTGTTCAACTTGGAAATAACACAGTGCCTAGATTTTTGTGTTTCTGCTTTCACTACTTTTCAGGTGGAACAAAACCAGTAGAACCAAAAGGTGAAATGTGGCTATGTCACCTTCCCTCCCCCAAGCCTGCTTGTCTGGGATCCCAGGGTGGGGTTGGGGGAAGCCTGTCCTAGGCTCACGCAGTTCCCTGCTGACACAAAGACCTCCAGGAATGGAGACATTCTAGGTCCAATTGCCCATTACTACCTTAATGGTTATTTGGGAGTGGGTAGCCAAGGTAAGGAAAAAGATATTAAGAGAGCTACTCTTGAATTCAAGTTACTTGGTCCAAGTGAGCTACCTCTTGGCAGATGTGGGGAAGGTGCTGGCAGTGAAACCTAAAAGATCCTAGAGAATGGTCATGGTGCTGTGGGCCCAGAGAAAGGCGAGCATCCTAATTTCCATCAAAAGGGTAAAGAATAGGATCTTTTCTGCTAACTATAGGCCAATGAACTTGTCTTGGATTTCTACAAAATTGAGGAGAGAACCATTCAAGCAATGCTGGTTGAATAGCTAGAGAAAGAAGAGGTGATCACAAATTGTCAGCATAGCTTTACCAAAAACAAGTCAAGTGATTCTAAATTTGTTTCCTTGTTTGATGCAGTAACTGGACTGGAGGATCAGGGAGATGCCACAATTAGAATTCAGATGAATTTGGCAAAGCAATAAAGGCTCTCATGCTATTCTTGTGGGGAGAAATAGATTCTGCCTTTATTATGGGACAATTGGAATCCAGATGGATTGAGAATTGTTTGGGTGGCTGGACTCAAAAGATGATTTATTAGTGGTTAGGTGGATAGCTCAGTCGTGGAGTCAGGAAGACCTGAGTTCAAATGCAATGTCAGACATTTACCAGATGTGTGACCCTAAGCAAGTGACTTAACCCTATTTGCCTCAGTTTCCCCATTTGTAAAATGAGCTGGAGAAAGAAATGGCAAACCACTCCAGTATCTTTGCCAAGAAAACCCCAAATGGAGTCATCAGACATGACCTGAGCAAGAACAAATCCAATTTTTTTAAAGTGTACTTGGAAGGAACTCTCTAGTGGAGTAGCCCAGAGATTTGTTCTTGACCCTGGGCTGTTAAACAATTTTTTCAGTAACAAATGGGATGCTCCTCAAGCTTGCAGGTGATAACAGAGCCAAGGGGGATAGTCAATACCCAGAAGTATAAAATCAGGTTTCAAATAGATCCTGGCAGGCTAGAACATTGGTTTCATGCTAATAATAATCAAAATAATAGGGATAAATGTCAAGTCCTACATGTAGGTTTAAAAAATGGTCATAACCAGAACTATGTGATATGGATAGACAGCAGTTTGCCTGAAAAAGACCTGGGGTTTTCATTCCGTAAGGACTTTAATAAACTGGTGAGTACTCAGAGAAGGGAGGCCAATTCAGTGTCTCGATATTGACAGCAGTGAGATTATGACAGGGAAACATATATACGCACACACCCTTGATGTGATATGGGGATGCTTTGAGAGAATCCCTGATGTGATATGGGGATGCTTTGAGAGAATCCATCACAGCTTCCAGGAATAAGGAGGTGATTATGACTGTTCTCACACCTGGAAGGTTGTGTTCCTTTTGAGGCATGATGGAGGATGCTGAGAAGCTGGAAGCAGCCAGATGGGGGCAGCTTGATGAGGGACAGGCCTCAAGTCCATTCCACATGAGGGTGGTTTACAGAGACTGGGGAGGTTCAGCTTGGAGAAAAGAAGACTCAGTGGGGAAATGATCACTGTCTTTAAGTATATAAAGCGAACCCTGGGGAGAGAAATTAAACTCATGTTGTTTGCCCACAAAGATAAGAAAAAGAGTAAAAGGTCCAGTTTACAAAGAGGTAAATTTAGACTCAGTGTCAACAATGAGCTGTCCCAAAGTGGAACTGGGATGTCTCCTGATGTGGTGGGGTCCTCTGCATTAAAGGTTTTCTTAAAAAAAGATATTTTCTAGATGTACTCAGTGTTTGGGAGTGGGTTGGTTAGATAGACTCTAAGTTCCCTTCCATTTCTGAAATTCTGCAGTCTTCTTCTTCATGATCACAGCTCTCTGGTCATCACAGTAAGGATTTATATATATAGAGAAAGTGGCCATGTGTGGACTCTGTTGGGGGCTATATTCTATGAACATCAGTCCATCCTTCTCTGTGTGCTTGATGAAAATCAGCAATCTAGTGGAAACCAACCCATTAAATCAGCTTTAATCCTCATCAGTTAATGACACTTGCATTTTAACAATTTTCATTTGAAAGTATTAGGGGAGCCTCACTTCCTGGGAATTCGGGACATCTATTAGCATGTCTTGCTCCTTCGAGAGAAGACCCTCATAGCAGTTCCTCACAATGGAGTGGTGCACCCAAGTGAGTAGTAAACCTGACCCTATTTTCTCTTTCTTTAAGGCAGTCTCATGCTTTGGACCCTGTCTTTACAGTGTTGCCTAGGACAGATGCCTGTAGCTCAAAAATTCCAGGGATGACTTGGGCAGTTATTAGGTATAAATCATGGGAAAAGGGTTAAGTCCGATACCAGGCACTGAAAGATGGCAAGGGAAAGGGCAGGCTGGCCTTTATTAGAGATAAACTGTGCTGTTCCATGAAGACAGGGACAAAAGTGCAGCAGAACAATACTTAGGAAGGATGGAGGAGGGGAGGAGAAATTCAGATTGATTGATCTTTTGCAATCCAACCTGGAAGGGTTCTAATGCCAGGGAATTATGAGAAGAATGGGGCTGGAAGGAGGGGTAATCAGAGGAGAGGAACAGAGTGGAACACATGGATGGAGCAAATGCATTTGACCTGGGTTGCTGACATCCAGGAAAGAGATTGGGAGCTTCCTTCATGTGATATTCCTTTATAGGCAAACTAGGGTGGCACAGTGGATAGAGCAATGAACTTGGCATTAGGGTGATCTGTGTTGACTCCTCCCTAAGATCCTTAATAGTTTCATCAACTTAGGCAGTCTTTAGACACAAGTGAGGCTCTCTGAGCCACATTTTCCTCATCCGTAAAATAAGGGTGTTCAATTTGATGACCCATAAGGTCTTTTCTTTGTCCAAATCTATAACTTTATTGTAGCAAGTTGAACTGAACTCAAGGTCCCAGAGTGTACATCAACAGATGGATCTGGGATATGGAGTGCCCCCACTTCACACCTCCCAGGAATAATGTCACTTTTGCCTTTGTGGAAAGTAGGGGGATGACTGTGAATGTATGACTACTCCCTAGCTCTCTAATCTTCCCCAGGAGTACAGGGCCACAACTATATATAGCTATTGCACATCAGATATTTGCCATCTAGAAGTAAACTTTTGCTAGTCACTCTGGTAGTAAGTAGTCCTACCCTAGAACAAGAGGGTAACACTCAATGTAATCTCAGCCAGCTTGTATCCCATTCCACAAAATGCTAATTACATCAAAGACAAACATGTATAACGAACAAATAAAACTACCAAAGCAAACAGTAAAGCAATAATTAGGGAAGTTATACCAATTAGTTTGGGCAGAAGGATACATATGAGTCAGGTGTGTCTGGGATTTGGAAGGGAGGTAAAATCTCAGTTCCACTAAGGAAAGAACAATCTCACCCCAGAGGTCTGCTCTTTGTAGCCTTTGGGGGTGCAGGTTCTGGGGATTAATGAACAAATATGTTGAGGTGCTAGCTCCTCCTGGGCATCTCCTGTTTGCCAAAAAATCAATCCTTTCTCATTCCCCATCTTTATTTCTCTCTTTCTCTGCTTCTCTATCAGAAGTTTTTTTAGCTAATCAGGAGTCATATCTCCCTCATATATACTATACACAACATAACAGGACTCTCTTTCAGGAGACTGCCAAGCCTGCCTGGTTAGGGTGTTACCTGAAGGGAAATCAGAGAAGGCAAATTGCAGTCATGGCTGAAGCAACAGTCTGGGAGATTGCTCTTTTGTGAAGTCAGAAGTCCCTCCCCATGGGATGCTTCCTGGGAGGATTATGCTCAAATTCAGGAGCTAGAATTCCTAACAGGGATTCCAAAGTCCAAAGGAAAAATGGAATCAATATGATGACTAGGCCATTGAGCAGATGATCTCTCCAACTGGGAATGAATGGAAGATTCTTATAGACCTAGGCACTGCCCTTCCCTTCCCTTCCCTTCCCTTCCCTTCCCTTCCCTTCCCTTCCCTTCCCTTCCCTTCCCTTCCCTTCCCTTCCCTTC